TCTACCACTTGAGCCACAGCGCCACTTCCGGCTTTTTTCTTTTTGCTTATGTGGTGCTGAGGAATTGAACCCAGGGCCTCATGCATGCAAGGCAAAGCGCTCTACCACTGAGCCACCTTCCCAGCCACTGGTTTCAAATCTTGACCTTGGGATTTCAGCCTCGTGAGCAGCTGGGATTTCAGGACTGAGCGGTCAGCTCCCAGCCCTCACCCAGTATGAAACCCACTTTAGATAGATAGATAAAGCTGACTAACTGCTGCCTGCGACAGCCCCCAACCTCGTTTATCTAGGCCACTTTGTTCTTTAATTCAATGAGCATGATGGGCACAACATAAGTGATGGATGGTTGTTGCTGCTGTTTTGGGTCAGTTGTGGGTCTTGAACTTGGGGCTTGAGCTCTGTCCCTGAATTCTTTTGCTCAAAGCAGTGCTCTATCACCTGAGCTACAGTGTCACTTTTAATTTTCTGGTGGTTAATTAGAAGAGTCTCACAGACTTCCTTGTCTGGGCTGACTTCAAACCATGATGCTCAGATCTCAGCCTCCTGAGTAGCTAGGATACAGGCGTGAGCTTCGGGCACCTGGATACAGGTGTGAGCCACCGGTGCCTGCCATAATCAGTGTTTGAGGCATTGAAAGCATCTGCATCACATACCTGTCATACATTGTTCACCAAGTTCAGTCTGCAGTTGAGTCAATCAGTGTGAGACAGAAAGGAGGTCCTTGGCTTGCTTGAAAATAAGTTTATTGAGAAACAAATACTGTGTGTATGCTATCTATCTGGACTGCTGATTCCACTCCTGCACACAGGCAGGGAGCAGGGAGCAGCTGTGGCATGTGGTGGGGCCTACTGTTTGCGCTTGGTCTCACTGAGTAGCTCTTGCCAGTTCTTCTCCATTTCCTCCTTGCAGTTGAGAAAGGCATCCTCCAGTCGGCGCATGGACTCTGCCAGTGTGGGGTTGGTACGCATGACCACCATGTCGTAGGCCATCCAGGTCGCCTGCACTGCAACAGACAGACAGGCATAGTCAGGCCACAGGTGCGGAAGCTCTAGGGCCTCACCTGGGCTGAACAACCAGGGGGAGGCAACTGGGGAGCATCAGTTACTCCAAAGAGAAAAAGCCAGTGGGATGCACAATGCAGGCTATAAGACCTCTTATTTCCAGCAGTGGCTTATGCCTATACTTCTGGCTCCTAAAGCCAAGATCTTGGGGAGACCTCAGTTCAAAGCCACCTTAGGCAGAAGTCTGTGAAACCATCTCAAAACAACCAGCAAAAAATCAGGCTGGAGTTAAGGATACACTGGTTGTGTCCAAGCAAGCAAGTGCAAGGCCCTTGAGTTCAAGCCTGAGCACCAGAGACAAAACAACACAACACAACACCCTCAACAGCCTCCTCTCCACAGGCAGCAAGAAATGACACTTCCTAATCTGCAAACCTTAACTTCTGAATATATCAGTCCATGACAGTAAAAGGCTGGGGCCAGTCAGATATGAAGTGGGAGGAAAATTAGAGTAAATCACAGGTCTGGACACTGGGCAAGATAGCCCCAGTGAGTCATAATGTCTAGACAAGCTATGCAATCAGATAGGCTGATCATTTCCAGACATCTCACATTTCCTTGTGCTCAGTGGGTGGGATTTCTGACTACCAGCATCTGGGCAATTCTATGCTTTGAGTGAGGCTCACATCAGAACTTCTTCTGGGAAGGTTCTGCTGTCTCTCCATGCAGAACCTTTGCACACTCACTCACTACTGCACTGATAGATTTTCTTCCTCTTTCCCTCTGAGCCTCGAGGTGAGTACACTTCTTCTTGCGGAATGGGTGCAGTGTGTGCAGAGCTCTCTGGAGGGTGCCCACCTCCATTACAGCTTTTGACAGAATACTTGTGCCATCTGAGCACAGTAGCTATGGCTCCTGAAAACTCCTTTTTGACCTAAAAAGTGCCAGATACCAGGCTGGGGGTGGGTAGCAATGCTCAGGTGGTAGAATGCCTGCCTAGAGAGACTGAGTTTAAACCTTCCCAAAAAACAAAACAAAAAACCCAAACTGGACACTTTAGGAAAGTGATACTGTAGGTAGAATGATCAATAACAAATGCACATGAACCGGCAGCATGACAGGCTTGAAGTTTTACAGAGAATAGTATCTGTTTGGTATGGAAACATTGCTAGAAAAGGGCCAGTGGCCAGTGGTTCTATACTTCTACTATAGGTTCAGGAGACTGAAATCTGAGGATAACAGTTCAGAAGAAGCCCAAGCAGACAAATCTGAAAGACTCTTACCACCAATTAACAAGCAGGAGCCAGAAGTGAGATGTAGCTCAAGTGCCAGCCTTGCATGAAAGCTCAAAGAGACCATTAGAGCTCCAGGCCCTAAGTTCAAGCCCTAAAATAGGCACAAAAACAAAACAAAAAACTGCCAGAGGGGCTGGGAAGGTGGCTCAGTGGTAGAGCACTTGCCTTGCATGCTCGAGGCCCTGGGTTTGATTCCTCAGCACCACATAAGAAAAAAGCTGGAAATGGCGCTGTGGCTCAAGTGGTAGAGCACTAGCCTTGAGCTGAAGAGCTGAGGGACAGTGCCCAGGCCCAGAGTTCAGGCCCCACGACCTGACCCCCCCAAAAAAACCTGCCAGAGAATATAGGGTACATGTAGTGTCTGAATAGCATCACAACTCTACTTCTAGTAGGGCCCCTGGGATGCTTCTTGCCATGAGACCACTGACTGCTCTATCAACACATAGAAGTTTTTTTCTATCAGGCTGGGGATTGTGCCTGGGATCTGCATCTTTTTTCTTTTCTTTTCTTTTGGTCAGTCATGGGGGTTTGAACTCAGCCTGGGCGCTGTCCCTACACTGAAGCTCAAGGTGAGTGCTCTACCATTTGAGCCACAACACCTCTTCCAGTTTTCTGGTGGTTCATTTGGAGATAAGAGTTTCTTGGACTTTCCTGCCTGGGCTGCCTTTGAACCACGATCCTCAGATCTCAGCCTTCTGAGTAGCTAGGATGACAGGCATGAGCCACTGGTGCCTGGCGGGATCTGCATTTAATAGAACCAGAATCATTCTAATACAAAAGGTCTCAGACACTCTTTACAGACCCCTGGGTAACAGATGAGGAGCGAACCTGGGCTCCAGAGCAGAGTGTACTTCCTGGTTCTTCACTTGCTAGCTATGCGACCTTCAACAAGGACTGAAATTGGTTGACTCAGGCTTCTCACCTAAAAAATAGAGACTGTACTCATCTTAAAACTTGCTGTGAGGCCTGAATGTAAGCGAACTGCCTAGAACACATTTGTTTGTGTTTTTTTTTTTTGGGTCCGGTCGTGGGGCCTGAACTCTGGGCCTGGGCGCTGTCCCTCAGCTCTTCAGCTCAAGGCTAGCGCTCTACCACTTGAGCCACAGCACCACTTCTGGCTTTTTTCTTTTTGCTTATGTGGTGCTGAGGAATTGAACCCAGGGCCTCAGGCATGCAAGGCAAGCACTCTACCACTGAGCCACCTTCCCAGCCCCCCTAGAACACATTTGGATTGAATGTTTATGTCCTCCTGCTCAAATCTAACCCCAAGGTGTTGATATTAGGAGGTGGAGCCTGAGGGAGATGAGCAGTTATCAGTATACTGTCCTCAAGATTGGAAATGGTGCCTTTATAAGAGACATGAGAGCTTGCTCTTGGCCACATGAGGGTACAGCTAAGAAGGTGGCTATTTGCAGACTAGGAAGATACTTCTGACTGGACATCAGATCTGCTGGTGCCTTGATCTTAGACTTCCTAGATTCTAGGACAGCGAAATAAATGTTTGTTTTTAATCCATCTTGTCTATATGCAATTTTTTAATTTATTGTTGTAAAACAAGACAGAAATTGGTCACAGAAGGAGGCATTGCTGTAACAAACACCTGAGAGTGTGGAAAGCTTTGGAGTTGAGTAAAGGGCAGAAGTGCTAGAGTTTTGAAGTGCATGGAAGAAGCTAATACATCATTGCCATGAATGAAGCTTTAAAGGAATTCTGGGACCAGAGGCAGTGACTCATGCTTGTAATATCAGCTTGTAATATTCAGAAGATAGAGATTAGGAAGATCTTAGTTTGAGGCCAGCCTGGGCAAAGAGTGATCAAGACCCTCATTCCAATGATTAAGCTGAGCATGTTGATATACACCTATGATCCCAGCCATGTGGAAGTCCATAAGTAGGAGGATTTTTCTATGAGCCTGGCCCCAGACAAACTTTTTGTGGCAAAACTGTATTTAAAAAATAACTGAAGCGGGGCTAGGAAGGTGGCTCAGTGGTAGAGTGCTTGCCTCACATGCATGAGGCCCTGGGTTCGATTCCTCAGCACCATATAAGCAGGGGGGTAAAAAGCTGGAAGTGGCGCTGTGGCTCAAGTGGTAGAGCGCTAGCCTTGAGCTGAAGAGCTGAGGGACAGCGCCCAAGCCCAGAGTTCAGGCCCATGAATGGACCCCCCAAAAAAAAACTGAAGCAGGGCTAGGAAGGTGGCTCAGTGGTAGAGTGCTTGTCTTGCATGCATGAGGCCCTGGGTTCAATTCCAGCACCACATAAGCAGAAAAAGCTGGAAGTGGTGCTTTGGCTCAAGTGGTAGGGCGCTAGCCTTAAGCAGAAGAACTAAGGGACAGCGCTCAGGCCAAGAGTTCAGGCACCATGACCGACCAAAAATAAATAAATAACTGAAGCTAAAAGGACTGGGAGCATAGCACAAGTAGTAGAGTACCTGTCTAGCAAACATAAGACCCTGATTTCAAATACTAATATTGTCACAAAATAAAGTAAAAGGTAACTCTGTTATTTCTGATGCTGAGAGAAAAGAATTTAGAGAGAAAGCCTCTATCTTCTTAGAGAAAATAGAAATACAAATGATATACCATTCTAGGGCTGGGAAGGTGGCTCAGTGGTAGAGCGCTTTGCCTTGCATGCATGAGGCCCTGGGTTCGATTCCTCAGCACCACATAGGTAAAAAGAAAAAAGCCGGAAGTGGCGCTGTGGCTCAAGTGGTAGAGCGCTAGCCTTGAGCTGAAGAGCTGAGGGACAGCGCCCAGGCCCAGAGTTCAGGCCCCACGACCGGACAAAAAAACAAAATAAACAAAAAAAACCCATTCTAATGAATTATCAGACAGTAATGAGGAAATAAGAGGAGAGATGATCCTTATAAAAATGTCAAAAAAAACTTAGTTGAATTGTGTTCATAATCTAGTGTTTTATGGAAGGTAGAACTTGTAAGTAATTAACTTGGACATTTAGTTAGGAAATTTCTCAAAAAAGAAGAAACTTCTTTAAAAGAAAGTACTTAAGACAAAGTTAAAGTAAGAAAAATTAAAATTGGGTCGGGCGCTGGTCCTAGCTACTCAGGAGGCTGAGATCTGAGGATCGCAGCCCAGGCAGGAAAGATGTGAGACTCTTATCTCCAATAAATCACTCAGGAAACTGGAAGTGGTACTGTGGCTCAAGTGGTAGAGTGCTAGCCTTGAGCTGAAGAGCTGAGGGACAGCACCCAGGCCCAGAGTTCAAGCCCCACAACCGGAAAAAAAGAAAAGAAAAGAAAAGATTGGGGAAAAATCTCAAGAAATGAATCTTTTTTTTGTTATCTTTAAGTAGTTGCACAAAGGATTTGCCATTAATAAAGCAGTTTATGGATACAGTGTATCTTGATCA